ACCAACTGCACCCCACAGTTACTGACTGCCCGGCTTCGTCGACCGTTCGTCGTCACCTCGACCATTTCTCTGTCGACCACCGTCTGCCCTGTGACCAGCACTGAGATTCCTCCTCCTCCTCCTCCTCCTGGTTCTTCCACCGAGGTCCCCCCTCCTCCTGGTTCTACCCAGGTTCCGCCGCCTCCTCCGCCTCCTGGTTCTACCCAGGTTCCTCCTCCTCCTCCTGGCTCTACCCAGGTTCCTCCTCCTCCTGGCTCTACTCATGTGCCTCCCCCCCCTCCTGGCTCTACCAAGGTTCCCCCTCCTCCTGGTTCTACCCAGGTTCCTCCTCCTCCTGGTTCTACCCAAGTTCCTCCTCCTCCCCTCCTCCTGGTTCTTCCACCCAGGTTCCTCCCCCTCCTCCTGGCTCCACCCAGGCTCCTCCTCCCCCTGGATCTACCCAGGCCCCTCCTCCTCCCCAGTCCTCTGGCTGCCCCGCGGGCACCAAGCCCGGCCCCAACGGCCAGTGTGTCCCCGTCACCCCCCCCTCTAGCCAGGGTCCTCCCCCTCCTGCCATCACCACCAGCACCCGCGTCCCCACGGTCCCTTCGACCGCGCCTCCCGTGGTCACTGCCGCCGCTGGCCGCTTTGGTGTCGAGGCCGCTTTCATTGCCGTCGGTGTTGCTGCTGCTCTGTTCTAAGCAGGCTTGACCCCGGCACGACATGCAGCCTGAAAAAAAAAAACGAAAAAACAACAACAACGCTCTTTACCGTGTTATGACCTACAGAAGACTTGCAACTTAATTTGCATTTACAAACTAATTTGGTTTGATAGAACCAATGTTGGTTACCTTGGCAAGAAGGGGAATAGTGCAATTTGTACATTCGGACGGAGATTTATTATGGACAATTATTATTAGAGAGATGGGAAGGTTTTGAGGACCCATGTTTAACCCAAGATGCATATCTGCTGTATATGCGCTTGATAGCAAGTTATGGACAGGCCGATTACAGTACTTGGCCACATAATATATTTACTATTCTCAATTTCATAAATATCCACCCGTGAGCTACGACCTACTAGTTTTGACTCGAACATCTTGATAATGTCCGAGAGGGAAAACAAGACGGCAAGCACATAATGGTAGAATGGTAGATTGCCTTATTACTCCGTAGTCTTGATTGGTGATTAGCTGGCCTGGTACCTTTTGGACCTTGCTCTGCGCCGCCACAGTGGCACGAATCACCCTAAATGTACCTGTGCGCTTTCCTCAAATGAACGAAGCAGCTTCTTCGTGGGTATCTGCATTGAGTTGTCCGCATCTGTGGGCACTCGCATCTCGCATCTCGCTTCTTCCTTTAAGGGACAGGCGGCGTGGACGGACAGTGTCTGTGCCTGACTAGCCAGAAGGTTTACCGGTAACAATTTAGGTAGGTACATCGAGGAAGCGCCACTGGATTCGGACTGTTCGCCGCCCCGCCCCTTCCCCTGCATCGCGCATCTGGGGGCGGGCGCCTCTTTTTCTTTCTTTTCTTTTTTTTGGGAAGGGCAAATGTTTTACTAATGTCTGGCAGGGGCAGGTATGTTAGACACGGAGGAACTAAAGAAAGAAGAAGCAAAGCATCGATTGCCCTCTGCTTTGGCGCTCGATAACAAACGCATTCAAGGAGGATCTCAGACACGTCAATGTTAGTGGAGAGACAGAGGGTCAATACCTGGTCAACTGGTCCCGAGGGTCCCGCAGAGGGACAATCGACTGAGCGTCCGGGGCAAAAAACACACAAATTCAAAGCGATACGCCCGCAACCCGTCCAGCGCAGCATGGTGAACTTTTTTGCTGGCACAACGAGGAGGAACATGGAAGTTCGAAAGTGAATAAAAGAAGAAGGAAAAATGTTGCCGCTTTAACAGCCCATTCTGACAGTGACATGCCGGGGTCAGGGCGCCCCCATTCTCCAGTTTTCGTCTGAACAAACCCATGCGCCCGCTAGCGAGGAGGCCCTGCTCAAGCGTCCTGGTGTATTGGTTTTCTTCATCTTGACTCTGTTCTTGTTCATTGTCCAATTCAAGAGGGACCCAGACCAGCGAAGAATATCGTTGCGCCGGAAGCCACTGGCTATGAGGCACAGAGGCGAGGGAAGCACTGAAAAGGAGATAAAGTTCAAAGTCGGCCGAATTAGGCAACCTGACAAGCGAGCCGCATGACGTGACTGGCTGTTTCAAAAATCTTACGGCTGGGCAGGTGTGGAACCCTTTGTTTTCCATTGTTTCTTCCACTAGGCGGAGTCCCGAATCACGTAGAATGCGATTCGGAATAACTGCTACGCACAACGCCAGAGGGGCGTGGCTAGTAGGCTGGCTTGCCGCCCGCAAACCGAGACAATTGGCTGCGCAGGGAAAATCGGCAAAGCCACAATGGGGATGGTGGATATAAGAAAGACCAAGCGGATCAAAGCAAACATGCGTAAACTCCGGACTCCTTGGGTAGCTGAAAAGACAAAAAAGGTAAAAAAAAAAAAAACTCACATCAAACTGGCATCGTTGATTTGTTTATGCTTCGCAACCACAGCGGACGCTAAATAATGGACCTCGCCATGCATGAACATATCGTTCGATCCAAATTTGGGGACGGAGTCGATTTACCAGTAGAAGCGAATAGTCGGAGACGGTGTGTTCGTCACTTGACTGACCAACGGGCGCGCCAAACTATTGATTGCACCCTGTTGTTCAGAAAGTTAGTCTCGTTCGTGCTGTGGTGATGCGTGGGAGCTGGCGCGTAATTAGAGCGTAGAGATGGCCAGATCCCCGCCCCGTTATCTAGTCTGTAGCCAACGGAATTGCGATTTGGTTAGTAATCGCCGGGGAAAAACTTGGATACTTTTGCGCGCCCTCTCATCCATTGAAATGCCATTGCGGCAAAGAAGAGTCCTTGGATCTTTGGAGGGACCAAGGAAAACATGAGCTGTTCACTGACTCGTCTTCACGCCGGCTTAGCCTAGAGGTAGACTTTTTCTTCCTCTTGATTAGCGAGCAAGGTTCTCATCGGGGTCTCCTCACAGCGGCCAAAGTATTGCACAACAAAGTGTGTTTGTGCATTATCGCTAACGAGTCAAAGGAGGCCAACAATCAGAATGAAGCCAATAATGGGCCTGTCAACCCTTGCACATCGACAATGCAAACTTTATTCATGCATCAACGATCGCTTGGGTTCGCGGGCGACGTTTCAGATTGAGCGCTTGAGCGTTTTTGGCCATCGGTAAGTGACTAGGGTGCAGTTGCGGCATTATGCTTCTAGATGACTTTCTCTTGCCGAATGACTTTCTCTCGTCGGCAGACTCGGTGAACGCCAGCGCCGCCGCAGCCGAGACGGCCCCGGAAGAGGGAATACAATACTCGAACTCTCGCCGAAGGCGGCTGAGTGAAAGTCAGCGTCTATCTGAGAGGTGAGTCCTTGCAACAACACGAAAGTCTAGACGAGAAATAAAGTGAAATGCAGCGAGTGAGATATCTCAAACTGACGTCAACTTTTTTGCGTGGGGTTTCCTGGCTGGAACAGGTTGGTGCAGGCGTAAACCTGTTAGTAAGAATCCGGGCTTTGTAAGTAGTCAATGTGCCCAGCGCTCGCCAGTTGGGAGCGGCCAATAGACTTTGAAAGGGCAGAATGAGAAACACCAGTACCGGTGTTTGAAAGAAAAGCTTGACATGATGGCCGGTTGTGTGATACTGCGTGCATTCAACAATTGTGGCGCAGTCAGTAGTTAGCGGTTAGTCACTTGGTTCAATACGGGCGGCGTGCAGACAGGCGTCCAAAACCTGAGGCTATGCAAATCAATAAAAAGGCCGCAAAACAGCAGCTGATGCAATACTGGCCAGCCCATCAGCCATATTGTCCAGTTGTCTGTGGCTCAACGAGAAGAGTTGAGGCTGCGCAATTGGATAGGGGTGGCTCAGCAAGTTCGGCCGAGTCACACGCTGATGGTTAGGCTTGGAGCGTCTGAAGTTGGCGTCATTGCATCCGGAAAAGAGAACTCGATGAACTGATGTGCAGGAACCTTCACGGCGATGATGGATTGATCAGGCTGTGCATTTTCCCTGTTTTGCGTGGAGAGAGCCCGTCATTCGCTCCTGTGCTGCAGTCCCGAGATTCATTGTGTTGCCCAGGCTGAGATGTTGCAGCTCTCTGTGCATGACGCCCAGGCCGCAGCACAGCTTGGGCTTCGATTGGGCCACTGTTAGATGCCTAGACAGGCATACATTGGCATAGTGATCATATTGTATGGGGTCATGATGGCTGCAGATGCATCACAACGGTCGGGCGAAAAAGGCACACCAAGCAGCAGGCCGTTGCGATGCGGAGCTGCCAGCTGCCAGCTGGCGGCAGGCACCGTCTTCTACGCCAGTGGCTGCAGGTACTTTATAGCATCAATGCTTGGCGAACGAGTGCTGCGTTGCTAAGAACTACTCGCGATCCACTGTAGACGAGGCGGCCGTTTTGCACGAGCACTGGCGGCTGTCGTGCCCGTTTGCCTTGGCAACTTGGGGTACTCTGTTCCTGCATCTTGCCAAGTATCATCCCGCAGGCCTCCGAAAGCGCACCATCATCACCATCCATCACCATCATCATCTATCTGCCTTTGTTTCTGCCTCATCTCGACGCCATCTCAGCCTCATCAAGGCTGCACCGTCCGAGTATTCGCTCGGTATGGCTCGCCAACAGCCTCGCCGCCTGGAGAGGCCTACCGGCTCACTAGCTGGCCATGCCCGCTCCACCTCTTCCTGTGGCTATGCAAATCGTGGCATACCACCGGGCACCTCTACAGTGATGCGACCGCAACAAGCCCGCCAGCTCATTTTCATGACGAACATATTGAATTTCTATCACTTCGTCCGCCATCTCTTCCCACGACACCGTTTTAGGCTGCCACCGGGCCGCTCCATTCATCATGCGCCCGCCTACTCCGACTTGCTCCGGCTGGCCCCCAACACCGGCCCTCAGCTTGCCCGCCCACCATGAGGAAGGCATCGCCCTCGTTCGCATTGCAGCTCCTCCGCAGCCAAAACGACTCTATGGCGTTTAAATGCAGCACGGCTCCCTATCTGGAGATCATTTCGATTTCAGATTTCTGCTTTTATTTGCCCGTATCTATCAAAGTTCTGACATTGTTTACTGCATCCCTTCTCTCACTTACTACACCAAGCGCCGCTTACACCAAGCGTCGCTACACAATTTCTCACACGGGTCGCTTACAAGCGCAGCTAACCCCTCAAATATGACGTCGCAATCTCTGCCAGCCCTCACAATCCCTTCAGATATTAATCTGCTGCCCGAGCTATCCCCAGATCATTCAAGGTCCCCCTCTTCGTATGGTCTCAGCGCCACGACCGGCCGTCCTGCCATGTGGACAAGGTTTCACCAATGCAAAATGGTCTGTCTCTACGTCTACACGACCCTTCCACTCGAGAAAATCGTCAAAGTCGTACACCAAAAGACTTCTCCCAAGAGACGTCCCGGACAAGATTCTGCGAATAAGAATTTGAATACACTTCTTGACAAGGAGCCGCGATGGCTGCACCCCAGGACCAACGAGGACATGGGCCGCCGCCTCGAGCAGCTCTCCCTCTCGCTCTCTCGAATGCCATCCCGACTCAACGCCACTCCCTACGGCCGTGCTTCGTCTTATACGACTGAACCCAGCTTTCTTCACGCCCCTTTCAAGTCTAATGGTACCACCAGCTCTGCCCTGCTCGGCGTCCCTCAGCACTCCATGGCATCCCGGAGTGCTCCTACATCGCCAACATCTTCCTATCCAGCCTTTGCTGAGTGGTCGCCGTCCCCGCCATTCAAAACACCTTCAGCATCTACTTACCATCCGAAAGAGGAGCGCGACAGAATGTTGTTTGCACCATTTCTTCGCAGGGCCACCATGGCCTCCTGTTCAACAACCACTTCAACTTCTTCCCTGACGACCGTCTTGGCCGACTATAGCCCTTCATATCGTAGTGCTGTCAAGGGGTTGATGCGCCGGCTTTCTGGCTTTTTCCCGCGCTCGAGAGATGTATCACCCTTTTCCGAGCCCATCTCTGTCGTCATGGATTGGCTTGATGATGGGGCTGGTCCGACTCCTTATACCGGCACACCCTTTCCTCTACCCGGTGACTTCCTCAGCATCGACAAATACATGCAATCGCCACAAATGCTTAATCAGGTCTGCCGTAGTGTTCTGTACTCGGCCGCTCGAGAATTGTTACAAGTGCCTGCCACGTCTTTGCCTTGGGTAACACCCAACGGCCTTACGGAAAAGGGCTCCCGCATTCTTGCCGGCTGCATTCGCGAGTCGGACTTTTCTGAGGTGGATGTTTTTGGCAATACCTTGTTGCATTTTGTTGCTGCCCGGGGCCACGCTACTGACCTATGCAGCATCATTAGGCAGTTGAAAGATGGCGACATCCTGCAGCAGGCCAATACGGCAGGCCAGACTTTCCTTCACGTCATGGCTCAGGGCACCACGGAGACGCCATCCTTTGTGACCGAACTGATTCGCAGTCTACGAAAGGATCATGACATCGACATTTACGCCCAAGATCACTACGGCCGCAACTTTTTCCACATGTTGTGGGCCAATGGTGTCGGTCAGACTATTTTAGATGACATCCTGGCAGATGATATCCTTATGTCGGGCGATTCTGAACGATGGAGCACGCGCGATGCCTTTGGTGAAGATTTACGTATTTCTGCACCGCGAGTGCCACATGGGTTACCGATCGACCATACTTTGCTACTCGACAGCGGGATGGATCCCGCCGAGAGTAGTGCCAGCTCCGTGGAGTTGCAACTTGTGCATTTCATCAATCACGAAGTTAAACAAGACCCTAGGGCAGAAAACTCCCATGGACGCAACGGCCTCCACTGCCTTGCCGCCGTAAACTTCGGTTTGGCCTCTGCACCGACCGCTTCGGGCATGACCGGCGACCCTGATGCTGCTAGCCCCAGGGGCCGACGTCGCACCTCTGGTGGCAGCAAAAAAGAAACCGGCTCATCAGAGGGCCCTATGAAAACGCGCCTCGACTCGCTTCGGGACGTGCTAAGCTGGGGTGTCCGCGCCAACGCTTACGACGCCAATGGTAACACTCCACTGATGGCCTTTGTTGCGCAGCTGCCCGAGGACGGCAACTACAAGCTCGGCCCGCGGATTCTCGAGATTCTCATCGAGGCAGGTGGGAATGTGGACGCGCGTAACCGCGCCGGCGAAACAGCGCTGCACATTGCTGTCCGCTGCGGACGCAAGCTCGCCGCCAAGGCACTGGTTGATCAGGGGGCTAATGTGTACGCGCGAGATGCCCTCGGGCGCAGTGTGCTGGACGTGGCGGACGCCAAGATTCTGGCAGCGGGTAGAGGCTACCCGGGCGAGTATGCCCGATTGGAGGCGTGCCGGGCTTGGTTGAGTGGGCAAAAAGGCGGCGCGATACAGAACCCGACTGTCCTGGACGAATGGGGACTTGTACAGTGGAAGAGAAGCGTTGACAGGTCTCGTTTTTGATATTCGTATACGTTCCTTCCTCTTTTTCTTCTCATTCTGTCGCCTTTTATTTCCTCCTTGCTCTTCTTTCTTCCCACGAGTATCTTGTTGAATTCTGCTGATGTCATTCGACGATTATTTGTTGACTTGCGTTGCTGATGTTGTTGGACCATGTCTTTGTTGACTCTTTGCTTGACTTTCTTCCTTTTTCTTCCTTATTCTTCCTTTTTCTTCCTTATTCTTCCTTTTTCTTCCTTTTTCTTCCTTTTTCTTCCTTTTCCTTCCTTTTTCTTCCCTTTTCCCTGTTCAATCTTTCGTCATTGATGTCTTTTTAACATCTTGTAGATTATGTGTATGGCATTTGGGATGACTTTCACGAACGGCGTTTGAAGATAGACTTGAAAACCATCGCATGGAGCTTAGCCGTTATAGACCTTTGCAATCAAATTTGGCTTGCTGTATAAATCATAGATATATCTACTTCCTGTTTCTCTTTTCCACATGAAAATGATCAGATGAAATCCTTGATTGCGTCCCAGAAACCCTGTGGGTACTCGCACATGGGCAGGTGTCCGGCCCGCGGCACCACGTGCAGTGCAGCACCCTCTTCGCCCACCAGCCCCTTGAAGCTCTCCATGGCTTTAACCAGCGCACCCTTTCCGTCCGCCTCGCCCGCGACGAGCAAACCGGGCACCGCGCACCCAGGCAGTTGCTCTTTCAAATCATAATCCCACAGCGCCGTGCAGCTGTGCGCGAAACCCTCGACGTCGTTTTCCGCCACCATGTCCGTCATCCAGGCCACCGTCTCGTCTTTAGTCTCTGGATGGAACCAGCGCGCGACCGTCTGCCCTGCCAGCGCTGCTATGCCGCCGCCGCCGCCGCCGCCGCGGGCCACGTCGATGCGGTCCCGCCAGGCTTGCGTGTTGGCGGCGCTCGAGGCGGCGTTGCAGTCGGCAGCGACGAAGCGCGCCACGCGGGTAGGATACGTGAGGGCGTAGCGCAGGGCGGTGGCGCCGCCCATGGAGACGCCCACGAGGCAGGCGAAGCGGTCGATGCGTAGCGCGGCGCGCAGGGCGTCGAGGTCGGACGCGAGGTCGGCGAGGGTGGCGGCGACGGG